GGGACTCTTCTTCCATGACCTGCGCCTGAGTCCGTGCGCGAGGCCCTTCGTCTCCCTGGACAAGGGCAACGCGACCGTGGCCGTGGGCCGAGAGGTGTCGGTGCGATGCACGGCCACGGGCAGGCCACTGCCCACCGTGGCCTGGAGCTACCAGACGACAAACACGCGCCGCCTGCAGGGTGGGTACACATGCTGGGACGCCGCGGTGGCCTGGAGATGTTGCCTACATCGCCTGGTGTACAGGAGCGCGTGGGTTCGATCTCAACCCCGACGACGCCTGCATATTTGTCGCCTGATGAAGCTAGTTGTAATTGCTGGTGAAACGTCGTACTCAGATTGTAAATGTTGTGGCTTTGGTCTGCAACACACCGGTGTGCTGTACTAGTGACGAATTGGCATTTTCTGTTTAAGTGACAAACCTTACTAGTTGGCTATATCCGGTGGCGGCGGGTTTAACAACACATTTATATATTTACGTGATCTTAACCAAAAAACCTGTCTTATGGATGTATATTTGGACTTTACATGTTCTCCCCGTGGTCACGTGGATTTCTCTCCGGGTCCTCCAGTTTTTCCCCTCCACATTTACGTTTAAAGTCAATGGTGATGCCACTTCGTTGAGCTATCATTTGTGTTCAGGTCGCTTCTGAAAAAGAGCGATATAGCTCAGTGGGCCTTACCCGGTAAAACACAAAATAGTTTAGTTGCATAGTTTGTGTGTATGTCACGTTGTGTACACACCTATATATGTTATAAAAAGAAGAGCCATTGCCCAAAACGTCGTTTATAATATACTAGTCTTTTGCCCGTCCAAGGACGGGTGTATTGCAGTGAATCTGAAACTTGCAAGCGAAAAGCAGACCGCGACGTGATATTCATTGTATCAATGCGTGTGCAATGTGTAAGAGCGCGGTGACACAGACTTATTTAATTAAAAGTTTATAATCCCGTGTTCATCACGACGTACTTTTTACTTCGATGTCTCAACAGCGTTACGGAGATCACGTGACGTGAGGGTTTTGCCTTTGTACAAGGCATCATGTTTGCAATAACCACAACACAAGCAGTCAAAATGCAAACAAAAAGAAACAACTCTGATAATGATATGCACTGTCCCTGAAGGCGTACGCCTTTTGGCGTCATCTGGTCCAACACCAGGTGAGACTAGGCTCTAAGAAAAGCTGTCTCGGGTGTGGACCAATCAACTTCAAGGACAGTGCATATCATTATCAGAGTTGTTTCTTTTTGTTTGCATTTTGACTACTTGTGTTGTGGTTATTGCAAACATGATGCCTTGTATAAAGGTGGTAGTTTTTGTACCAGTTGAAAGGGTAAAAACCTATTACTATATTTTGCCACTGGTAAAGGAGGTCTCATAGTGTAAATTGTTTTTATTTACATAGCAATTATTTTTTTTATAGCAATATATTGAGGGGGACATTTTGAGCATATTTGAATATATTGGGGGTGATGTTTCCCACCCCCCCCCCCAATATATTATAATTACGGCCTTGTGCCACACACACGGCAGGCACCAGACCCCCCGACACCCCCAAGATCGTGATGTGCGCGGCGATTCTGCGCGGCCAATAGGGGGAGGTCGCGCGCGCTGTTTTGGTGACTTCGCTCGGGACGGGGAAAGGTGGCGGCGATCCCGTGGGCCCCTTCCCCACCACCACTGCCTGCTGGCTGTTGCCCGGCTACGAAGGCGTTTGTCAGTTGCTGTTCTTAAATAAGATACCCACAACCCCCATCTCCTCCGCATCCATCCATCGTTCCCTGGCTCACTTCATCCGTCTGTCCTGTCCACGCGCCCGTCCGCCCTTGTCCGCCTTCCACCATCCGTCCGTCAGCGTCTCTTTTTTTAAATTATATCCGTTCATCTATCCCCGTTTTGCCCATCCGTCCATCCTCCGATTTGCACGGTTGGCTACGTACGGCGCGAAAGAAGCTCGACATACAACATGCAGGGGTTTAAAGTCAAATTGGTTTCCACTCATGAACCAGTGGTGGAATTTCCATATTTCAGTGGCGAGTGAGAGTTTGTCCAAAGGACACCCACTGTCGATTTTCCATATCAAATAAAAATAATTCGAAGTTTAACACCCGTCCTGTCTGTGCACCCGTCTCCCCTCCACCCGCGCATCTCTCCATCCACCCCCGCCCTTCACTCTACCCGCAGCCTCCGTTGTGCAGGCGGACGAGGAGACGCTGCTGTCCACGCTGCGGGTCGCGCCCGTGCTCCCGTCGGACGCGGGTCGCTACACGTGCTCCGCCTCCAGCTTCGCGGGCGACGCGTGGGCCGGCTTCTCCCTCACCGTGGCCGTGGCCCCCCGCAAGGACGGGCCGCCGGCCCCGCCGGCCCCTCCGGACCCTCCGCCCGCGAGGAGGTCGCGTCTGGACCACCGCGGCCACCTCGGCCCCGCAGGCAGAACGCGCCTGGACCTGCGCGTGTCCAAGCAGGGCGCGCGCGCCGTCACCCTCACCTGGACCTGCGTCAGAATCGGTGGCGGCTTCGACGACGGCTCCGGCGACGAACACGAGGACGTCTGGTTCTCTCTCCACTACGGCCCGGCGGACTCGCCCACCAAGGAGCTGGTGTACATCGGGCCGGGCGTGAGCACGTACTCGCTCAGCGACCTGCGGCCAGTGAGCAAGTACGAGGCGTGCGTGCTGGTGCGCGACGCGGCGCCGGCGTCGCGCCACGGCCAGTGCGTGACGTTCGTGACGGGCAGCGAGGAGTCGAGCGAGATGGAGCAGCGCGAGAAGCTCATCCACGTGGTGGTGGTCGTGAGCGCCATGCTGCTCATCGTGCCCGCGGGCATCTTCGCGTGCACGTGGGACGCGCGCGCACCTGGCTGCTCGTGCTGCGGCCGGAGGTCGCTCAGCACGGGGGTCAACCACGCGCAGAGTCGCATGGGTGAGCGGAGGTCGGGGGGGGGGTGGGAAGGTGCCTGTGTTGCGAGATGTTAACTACCTCGCCTGGTTTGCAAGAGGTCGTGGGTTCGATCTCGACCCTGACGCCTGTATATTTGGAGTTTGCGTGCGTCTCTCCGGGTCCTCTGGTTTTTCCTTCCACATTTAGAATCAACGTGCGTTTAGAGTAATTGACTGCTATACATTTCCACGTGATGACAAGCCACTTCGTTGAGCTATTTTTTGTGTCCAGGTCGCTTCTAAAAAAAGAGCTGTATAGCTCAGTGGGCCTTACCTGCTAAAATAAAAAGTCAAAAAATTGTAAACAAAAAAAATCTAAAGGTGGCAACCCAGGCAGGGGGTAACCCAGGCAGGTGGTAACCCAGGCAGGGGGTAACCCAGGCAGTTGGTAACCCAGGCAGGTGGTAACCCAGGCAGGTGGTAACCCAGGCAGGTGGTAACACCACCCTTCTAGGTTTGACCGGAACAGTCCTGCAATTGGCATCTATCTTCACGTGGTCACGGTATTTGGTTTGTAACGAGATCTGGTGCGGGGCATTGTGTCGAATTGTTCGACGTATGTATGCACGTGTGTATGTTAAACTTCTTTTGCACCGTATGGAGGCAAACGTGCTCATCGGATGTGACGTGGAGTCCACGTGAATCACTCGGTGTTTGTGTGTGTGGTGCATCGGCCAGTCATCTCAGTCAGTCAACCCATGGCACCTGGGTCTGTGCCGTGACCTCCTGCCAGCCGGCGTTCGACACTTCACGTGGCCTTAACGTGCACACAGCCTGGCACAAGCGCCGTGGTGACATCACTGCCACTTAGTGGCGAACGTCGGTTGCTGTTGTTGTCTCGTCCACGACAGGCGATGGTGGTGTGGGAAAGAGCGGCATACGCAAGATGAAGAAGACACGCGGGGCACGCTGGAGTCGGGACGAGGAGGAGGGTGATGGAGGAAGAGGAGGTGGAGGAGGAGGAAACAGTGGAGGAGTAGGAGGCACGGCGATAGAAGCCAACGCGATCCCCTTCGACAGCCTGCAAGCGGCGAGCGACACGGAGCTCTGCCGCAAGGAACACGTCGAGCAGACGCTGGAAGGAGGCAGAACCAAGGTGAGCCGCAGGGCCAGTGCTGACCTCTACTGATAAAACTCATTCAAGGCTGAGTCGACCTAGGGGGGAGGACATGTTCTCCGATACCAGCCGTGGCCGGGAATCGAACTCGCTTAGCACCAGGTAATAGCGCGGTGTGGCAGAGAGCGCCCCGCTTACACATCGTTGAGCAGAGGGCATTGGCAGGAATAATTACTCCGGCCTCGGCGGGGCGCTGTGCAGATGGGAAGGAGAGGGGACATGGAGAACGAAAGAGAGACACGCGGGAAGATAACTCACCGTACTTACATCCACCTCCTAGCCACCACCTTGCAGCCCAGCGGCTTTGGGAATATCGCAAAACTCCCGCGATCCACCAAACCTTGGCCGCAAACGCTGCATCATGCCCGGTAAAGGAATCTTGAAACTCGATGATAATCTCCGCTGCGGCTGCGCTGCACGGGTTTGTTACCGCGCGCCGTTCGGCATGATGCCCGACGTCTCGGTCCGCGTGATGTGAGCTTTGTCAGGAACTGAAGAAGCTCCCAGCACTCATCTTGATTTGAAGCTTTAGTGACTGCAGGAACCCATACTCTCTGGTTCTTTCGGTAAAGTCACGTAGATAGACAAAATAATAATAGAACAGGACGTTTCGGTCGCGACACAAGCGTCCGTCATCAGGTGACTTTACCGAAAGAACCAGAGAGTAAGCTCCCAGCACGTTAAGCGGAAACGTCGGACGACAAGCCGAAAATCACGTTGGTACAACCAGCAATGCTCATTGTGATTACCGTCACCTGCACCGCTACTTTTTCACTCCCATCTATAGCGAGGAGCCGAGGACCCTAATTCTGGTGCGTGAAGTATTCGCGACGCAATCCGTGTTCGAATTCGCCAACGCGAGATTTATTTTGACTCGGGACAGACGCCGCGTGGTGCCACGATTTTGCGAGGCCGCACGTCCCGAACGTTTGGAGCGGTGGGCGAGAGAGGCGGCGGCGGCGGCGTCGGTGAGCGTTGGCGTCAATGTGTCTCTCTCTCCCCGCCTGGGCGCGTGCTCACGATACCGTCTTGACGCCAGTGGCTTCCCGCAGAGTGAACTCTTGATAGTTCTGACAGCGGAGAAGCGACGCCATGGCTTTACGGAACCTGCGTGCAAACAAACACGTAAACGCGCGCACGTGTAGATTCGCACAGAGTGATGTCACATCATCATCATCATTATCGTCATCATTGATCGTCATGATTTGTCCACAGTTGGATGGAGGCCATTGGCTGTAACTACATTATCAGCTCGGGGGGAGCGGGGATCTTTGAGGTGGGGGCCCCAAAATTTGATTTGTCTCTCAAGATGGTTGTCGAGGGAGACTCAACTCGTAGCTGTGGCCACCAGCGGGAGGGCCAATGCACCCCCTGCATGCCCCACGCTCGTTATGCTGCTGGTGGAGGCACGCCCAAGGCTTCATCTCACGGCCGTGGGACGTGACAATCCCACCCAACTCCGACGTCGCGAGAGCCAATTTCATCGCCGCGTCTCCGGGGAGCCATGCGTGGTCCCTCCGTTGGTGCTGACGTTCATCTCGGCCACCGCCATCCACCTCCGGGCAGCGTGTCCCGCCCAGGTCCACGTTCGCTCAACAGTCAACACGTGCGTATGAACCCCTGTGCCGTGTCACACTCTTGCTGCATGGACAGTCTGTTCTCCTATAACGCCTGTTTTCATCACGCGATGGATGTATTCAGGGAACACGTTTTTTTGAATATATATAACGAATTTGATATAACGCGGTCGAGTGAGCGGAACTACGTCGCGCGAGTTGGAATACGCGGTTTGTACGGCTGCCTTGGCGTCACGTGACACGAGACGGGATGCTGCTGGATGCTTCGAGGCGCTGCCCACGCGCCCCTTTGTTCAGCCTGCGTACGCATCGCACGCGTTATCGCGGACTGTGCTTGACCCCATCTAATATATATATGATTTATTATAACGCGATTTTTCCATCACACGTCGTGTTCTTCAGGAACACAGCAACTACCGCGTTATAGGAGAACAGGCCGTATGTGTATGTATTTGTACGTACTCCATTTTGTCTCTTCACGAATACGTTACGCAAGTCAGTCGGTTACCCTTTACCGAACCAGTGCTGGATCGTCGCCTCTCCACACCGTGCCGGCCGTGGGGGTTGTTTGACCATACTTCACTCGCGCTGGCCAAGGCGGGCTGGAGAGTGAGCGGCCCAGCACTGGTTCGTATGTACGGAGGTTGAACTTCTTTCGCACCGTACGCAGCCGACCGTGCTAGTGATATGACTCACCACGGATGTTAAGCCGTGGCTGAGAATCATACTCAGGTCATCGGGTTCTTGGTGCAGTGCGCTAACCCTCCAACACGGGCACACACCCACCCCCATCAACACACAAAGACAAAGATCCCCCGTACATGATTAACGACTGTTGGGTCAAGTGCTGTTAGCGAGCACCTATGAACGCCGGCATGGCACACGAGGGGGTCGGTGGCCAGCATCACGCCCGGCCGCCTTTGTCTCCCCAGTGGGGATGTTTACACACCACACCAAGTACTCATTTGAGGCTGAGTCTACCTATGGGAGGCCCAGGACCAGTTTAGATGATCGTTACTGGTTTTGGCCGTAAGCGGGAATCGAAATATGGCCACCGGGTACGCAGCGCAGCGTAGCGCTACCCGCTGCACTACCACCCCCCCCCAACAAACACGCACCGACACACACCGACACACACACGTGCACCCGCAAACCCTCATACATACGCAAGGTGTCGTAAGCCTACATCCATCAACAAGGTCATCCATGAATAGCAGCGGAGAGCTGGGAGCTTCCGACTCTTCGGCTCAGGGGCTTTGCTTCTCAAATCCCATTGAAGAGGTGTCACGTTATCTCAATGGGCCGTCACCTGGTTAAAATAAAGTATTTGGTTGAGGTGAGAGATGCGTCGTTTATACTGTGTGAAAGTGGTGGTAGCAGTGTGTGTGTTTGCTGTACGTGTGTGTAATAGGTGTGTGTGTGTGCATGTGGGGAGTAGTGGCACAGCGGTTAGCGCGCTGCGCTACTAATTCAGCGAATATCTTTACACGGGGAACCGCGGTGGCGAGACTTTATCTTCCTCGCCACGTATGCAGGAGGTCGTGGGTTCGATGCTCGACCCTGACGCCTCTTGTATATTTGGAGTTTGGATGTCCTCCCCGTAAGTCGCGTGGATTTTTCCTCGACATTGAGAATCAACGTGCGTCTCGAGCATGTTGCCGCTCTCAATGTCCACGTGGTTTGCCACTTTGTCGACCAATCATTCGTGGCCAGCTCGCTCCTGAGGAAGAGGTACGGATAGCTCAGTGGGCCTTATCTGGGTGAAATATAAAAAAACATATCTTCTTGGTTCTTTCGGTAAAGTCACGTAGAAGGGAACTAATAAAATAATACAAATAAAAATAATAAAATAATTCTCAACGCCGTTTT